AAATTACTCTGCTCACACCAGAAAGCGCGTGCTTAGGCTCAGGACTTAGTACGATTGATGATGCTATAAAAGTGCGCCGTGTAATGACCGATATGTCGACCATTAAAAATATATACGAAAATTGGAAACTTTTACAGAGTGTTTGTCGTATAAACAATGTGCATTTCATTGCGGCGGTTGATCAGTCCAAGCTAAGATAAAGGGAAAGAGATGAACAACTTCATAATTCCCTGAGCGTGCAAACACTTCATGTCGTAGGCGAGTAAAAAAGAGAATTATGGCAACGGCATCACTGACCCCGACAAAAGGGATACATACACACACAGCCAGTGCACTCGGAATCACAACAATGATCGCAACAGGACGCAATAGCATCCCTCGCTCGCAAGTCTCTCTCTCTTTTTTGGATATTTAGCGCGGGACCAATAAAATATAAAAAAGGGGTTGCACCCCCGAGCTTACTACATACATGGCACGCGTTCGTGATTTTCTCGATTATCGCGCAGAAGGAAACTCATCAATTTCGAATAATTTCTGGTGTCTCACCCTGCTTCTCTTTGGCCATCTGCGTGAAAAGAGAGTGGGAGAGGGGTGAGGCGTGATCATCGCGAGAATCACGCACCGAATGCTTTTTCTTTCTCGTCGCTCATCGCTAATTATTTTCGGATCCATCAATTTTTTCACCGATTGATTATACTGCGATGCGCCGACGATTAGCCCATTGATGATAATGTGATCGATCGGTTTCAGGGTTTCTCTTTTGTCCTAACTCTTCGGAGCTTTACACTTGCATTCATAACCGAGGCAGGTTACTTAGAAAAAAATTATTGATCGCGCCGTTGCCAACTTTTTTTGAAGACTCGTCGATCAATCGATTTCTCTTTGCCAATTCAAACAAAGCATTTGCAATTACGAAGCGAAACTCTTTTTTCTTCCATCTTTCTTTTCATTCTCAACCAGAAAAACGTGTAAATGCGCATAAAGACAGTCTCCAATAACGAGGGCAATAAACATTCTTTTTTGTTTTATAGGCGCTTCAAAACTTCTCGGAAGGTAAAAAGACATTATTTTTTGCACACCCTACTTATCGCTTAATAAATCAATTATGAGGCTAAAGAGTAAGGCTTGCGAAATTCCTCAGACGTAGAAACTGCGAGCGGCGCAAAGAACATTGCTGGCTCTTGTTGCGCAGAATTTAGCCGCATTATTTCTGCATTAAAGAAAGAGAAGCAGACAATGGCGCCTTTGCGCTAAAGTTTATGAATTCTTAGAAATCTGTATGATCACTCGAAAAACTGCCGAGTTAACTGCCTTGCTGCGAAACGGCGCTCTCTCTCTCGCTCTCGCCAAGGATATAAAAAAAGCTCAAGTACAAAAAAAAGGTGTTTACGTAGTGAAAGCAATTTCATCCATCTCTTTTTCAGTGTCCATTTTGAGTTGATAACAAAGACTCGTTATATCATACGCAGTTAGATAGCAACCGCTGATGATAACTCAGGGCGCGAACACGCAGTGGCGGTCGGTCCATTTTTACTCATCAAGAGTTACAAGTATACGCGTCTCGATGAATTACGCGCAACCCTTTCCTCCCGATGGCAAGCTGCACGCAACGCACGAGACCCCGTACTCGGCGAGCCTTGGCGGCGAGCAGTGCAACCCCCGCCGCGGCCGCTGCTCCGAGTCAAGTCTGCGCGTCGCTAGGCAACGGCGGTGGGGGTGAAGCAACGTGCAGTTCTCTCTCGTCTATTTCTTCATAAAGTCCGCCATTATCGCGCCCTCTCTCATTATGTCCCGCGGCGTCGGCAGGGAATATTCTTGTTTCAAAAATAAACGCTAATGGCGCCGTTTGTAATTGGAAAAACTCGCGGCGGCTCTGTATATACAACTTTTTTCCCCGTCCATTTTCTCGCCCTTCGACGCCAGACTCATTAATTTAACTTTTTTAATTAGTAAATTAATTAGAGCGGCAGCAAGCTCTGTTCTCCCTCGCGCGTTGCGTTTATCTGCGTCGACGCCAACTTTTCCTCGCGCGCGCCAGCGCGCCGCGATATTGTTTATCACCTTTCTCCGCAGTAAGAGAGAGCGAAAAAATTTACGCCGTGAGCTTTTAATTTTCTTTTCCATTTTTCGAGAGGGGGATGGGCAGCTTTTACGACCTTTCGCAGTCGCGAAAAGCGATTATTTACTCCCGACGAGAATCGAGGAAGATAGAAACCGCACACAATTGAAAGGCTGAAAGGTAATGTCACAGCCGCGCAACGAGTTCATTTTCCGAAAGACACGCGCGATTATTGACCTCTAAAAGGTATGGCGCGGCTCGCACTCCCGACGGCGACGGCGGCGGCGGTGAACGACGTGTTTTCCATATCCAGCTCTCCGCGGCGTGGCGTGCATATGGACAGCGAGCGGTTAAAAAATTGATGCTACCGGGCAGAGGCCGGGCAAACTAGATTCAAAGCCCACATCTCGTATTCATGGTGGCCCGTGCGGTCGACTGTGCGCGCCGCGCGATCGGGAAAAAGAAAAATTGGAGCGCGTCTGCGTGCATGGAGCAGCAGCACCGCGCGCGAGTCTGCTATTCGATGCCATATACATAAGTGTAATTTATAGGCTGGCAATCGTAAATGTGCCAGAGAATATTGAGCGTGGAAGAGCTTTATTGCGGAGTCGCTCGACGTCGTAAAAGTCATTTTCATTTCATTGTTTTGTTTTTGGCGAGTTTGCCGTTAGAGATTGTTTCTGATCAGCAATTCCGGAAGATAAAGAGTCGCGCGATTAGCGAGAAGCGTCTCGCTCGTCGTTGGCTCGCTCCGCGCGAATTCAAGTCCATTATGACGTGCCACGTGTACCGGCGTGAAATTGCCATCGTCGAAGGAGAGAGGATTTGCCGTGGAGTATGTATACACAATGCGCCGACATTGTGGTCAGTTTCGCGGCCTCAAATGCCAAGGGATGAATCTTTTATGAGAAGCCTGTCGTGCTGTTACCGCTACGGCTGGCGTGTGCGAGCTCGATGATTCGTATATAGACTTTTGGATTATTTTCACTTTTATTAGCGTTCTCTCATACCGACGCACCAGTGGCGCGCTTGCTTATGAATTCTTCAGCGTGCTTGGACGTCGGCCTTTTTCTTCTGCTGTCCCCCCACCTACTTGTGCATTATTTGTAAAAAATACACAGCCAACGGCATTGCTCGGTACTCGTTTAAGCGCCTATTTGCCGGATAACTCCCCCCTCCCCTTCTCTCCTTTATATGCACTCAATTCTTTGTATGCATAATGAGATAATCTGTATTTTCGACGAGGTACACCTCGTCAACTTATCGATTAACAAATGGCTCCCACAAGAGTCGTCGTTGCCGAAGCAAATTGAATTGATCCAGTTGTACTTTGTCAGGGAATACGAGCGCGCGGGGAGAGGAATCGCGAGAACGGAAATAATGGGAAATGAAAATCGCAGTAACTTGCGGCCAATGCGATCGTGCGATGCTCGAAGGCGCTGACGCTCGAAGCGACCTTTATGAATAGCGAAGCGAATATACGCCGGCCGCACGTGCGCGGAGCAGCACGCGATACGTTCGGAAATCAGAACGCGCCTCAATAATAAACGACCTCAGCCGTCCGCGTCTCATCACCCTGGCCATGCTGCTGCTCGCTGCTGCTGTCGAGGAATCACTTTAGCTCCTGAGAATTCCCCCCGCGATGAGCTTGTACTTCGTAAACCGCGACGCTGCCACTGATTCCTTCGATTTGCTCGTCGTAAGTGCAGGCTAACTTTTTAACATCGAAGGATATTCCGCGCGAGCGCGCGCAGACGCATGGCTTGGCCCTTTTACCTTTCCGAAAAAGAAAGAAACGGTCGCGAGGGATTAATATTATTTGATTTCGAACGATATCGCCGATGAAATAATGCCGATCGGGCGATTGCTCTAGAGTGTCAAATTTATTTTTATACTCGCTATCTCGATTATTGTTTTAATCATATCTCACGCGAACGATCATTTTCTTCATTATAATACCAAATTCGACTAAAATGGATATATCTAGTGTCAGCCGAAAAACATCACTGAACTGCGGGTTTCAATTACCTTCCCTGATGTCAGTTTACGCATTTTCCAAAAACCCACCCATCCCAATTACAAACAGACAAGAAGAAAGGGAAAAGTACCGCCCGCATGAGCCGTTTGCCCTTATTTCTGCAATTAGGATGATGGAACGAGCTGATCCTTCAATGGAATCGTCAGCGGCGTATATGCAGCTCGGTCGGCACGTGTTTCAGTGAAAAATTCTGCGCCGACAAAATACAGCCGAAAAGCCGCAATATCCTCGCGCGCTCGTTTATCGTCGCCCAGCAGAGAGGAGAGTAGCTGGACAAAGCCACCCGTATTGAAATGTCCCCGAGCCAGCCGGGAGTAGGTGGGATTATCTGAATACAGTCCGGTGGTTGGCGACCCCCCCAGGGTGTCGTAGCAGCGACACAAAAAGCCCAGCGGTGACGTATGCTGGTCATCTCACTCCGGGAATTACTTCGCTCGAGGCACCAAATAGATTATTTGAATATTGGCAGCAGCGCGCCGAAGAGGGTGCGGACACCGTTTGAAAAATTGCCGCTTCAGGATCCCCGCGATCGGCTGTGAGACGCGAGTGATAACGGAGCGTGATTTTCCGTTGGATAAGTGCGCAAGCGCAAATTTATGCGATGACGTCACCGCTCGATTGATGAGAGAGAGAGAGAGAGAGAGAGAGAGAGACAGACAGAGAGGTCAAGAACGATTGTCTTGGCAACGAGCTTTCGAAATAGTTTCCGCTGATAAGCGCTCAGATCGACCGTCACACCTTTCTCTCTTTCTTTCGAGAGATAAGATAATGATGTGATATATTAATCTTTCCGACGGTTTTTTTAGGTTGATTTCGACATTGCGTTGATTTTTCATTCAGTGAATTGTAACAATGGCTATTATGAAAAATACACTAATGAGCTAAATTATTTGTTTGTTACAGCGAGCGATGCCCTCGGTCGAATCGAAAAGGACCCGGCATCGCCAGAATCCATGCACGGTAAGAGTATAAAAATCACAAGTACTCCCAATTTCAATTTCTTAAGAAACAATTCGCAGCATTTCAATTATCCCAAAGTGCGTTAACACCAAGCAACAAAAGAAGAAATTGCGAAGGATTCAAAGTACTTGTGTCAAAAATTTTATTGGAAGCACGTCTATATCAAAGTATATATTCTTATAAGCACGCGTTGAAAATCATCACTTTTCGACGAAGACTTGCAGCTAATTCCGTTTCATCCGTAAAGTAAAGCCATAAACACAATTATTACACGGCGCCTGTGTCTGCGTACGCGTCCATTTTGTCATTTGCTCGCGCAAAAGCCCCGCGGGGCGACGCGGCGCAGGAGCCGAAACTGCACGTTTTTACAAGAAATGGAGAGTCGTAAAAGAAGCGCTTGTATACGTGTGCTTTTTTTGTTCTTCCGAGTGCAGAGGGCAAGGATGTAGTGACGGGTGGTAGCAGTTGTAAAATAACCGATAATCGATGAACAATTTGCAAATTGTACCGACCTTCAATTGGAGCCCGAGGCGACTTCTTTTTCATTTCACTTTCGCTTAAATTCCCTCTCTTTGTAATATTTCTCCTTTTTTTAGCCTGTTCTTGTAATACAACAAGGTTCGATTCATATAGATACCGATTCTATGTGATTTCATTTAACGCCAATTTTTATTTCAAACACTCAATTTACGTGAATATTCTACACGACGTAATCCTATATTTGATTATTTTTCAATAATCGATAGAATCTTGAACATATGATTCTTTCAAAAATTTATTAATTTTTGCTATATTTTATGTAAAATACTTTAGGTCAATTATTTTCCAATTTAGCTTCGGTAGATGTTCAATATTATTTTCTTTCTAATAAATACTATTTTATGTTTGTGGTTCGGTTCAATTAGAAAAGTATCATGTTAAGTTTAACAAACAAAATTTTTAAATTCCTATAGAATCGATATCTGTAAAAAACGAATCCGGTGGCGTAGAAATGTGTAACGGGCGTCTGTAATAACGAGAGGAAACGTCAAAAACTTTCTGCAGAGTTTACAAGGAATGCCAGGCGTTTATGCCTTTGCCAGGCGTTGTCGGGCTTTTTTATGAGGGTCGCCATATAAGTACGCAATGTTTCGCAGAATGTGTTTCACTGAAAGTCACACGTACTAGTTGCTGTAGGTTGCATAAAATATAAATATTCGTCGAATAATATTGTATTTTACCCAAAAATGTATCTCCACTGAAAGCGTAAAGTGTAATTTTCATAAACTCGTTGAAAAGTTTCTTTTTTATGCTGATCCACAAAAACCCGCAAATGAGGACGTACGAGGTCGGTCAGTAGACAAAAAAAAAGGAGAAAAAAAAAGAATCCCGTGCTCCTTGGAAATCGTCGTTCCGGCGGTCGTAACTGTGGCTCTACGTTATACGAATGATCTGCCTACGAAAACACCAACTCCGATCACAAAGCAAAATGAAAAGAAAAAATAGAGAGAGAGAGAGAGAGTAGTCATTGCCAACCCGTGTTTTACTTTTATAGCATTAAAACTGGTTGTTTGTCTTGTTGCTCTTTAGCTGTGCGGAAGAAGTCCGAGCGAGTCAATTAGTAATTTCATTTTAATGTCGATTCCGCGAAGCTTTCGGAGGCTGACGAGAAATGAGAAGTTGAGAGAGAGAGAGAGAGAGAGAGAGAGAGAGAAAGGGAGAGAGAGAGAGAGAGAGGTGGCGAAAGGAAAGGGATAGTCGATGAAGAGGAAGCGAAAGACAGGGCGCATGTGATTAGGCCTCATTAATATCAGAGCGCTCGCTCCTCTGTAATTTGACGCACTTCCGATTGGCCGGTATACCTATATATATTACTCGCACACGGTGGTCGACATGTTTCGCGAGGATACGGCGAACCACAAAAAAAATGAAGAAGCCCTGACACTTTGCAAGAGAATGAGAATTTTGGCGGGTGTCGAAATCCTCACGTTGAAAAATATCCGATTCGATTGGCAACGATTAGATTCTGCGGTGCGCGAGCCTTTTGAGATTGGCGCGCGCGCGCGCATGCGACGACGACAGAGGTTTAGTCATGCGAGCGGCGTGCGGGACACCTGCTTTTCGAATATGGCCAGCTACGAGATTCTTCGGTCGTGCCCTCTCTCGCACGTCGCTCGTGTGGAACTAACGTAATTTACGTCACGTATTAACTTCCGCAACGCATTAGCGCGACAAATAACATTCGACTGGTGTGCTCCTCCCGCGGGCACGACGCTTTCTTACATATTATGCAGACATGCGGCTCTACGTATTGTGAGAACTTCTTGTTAAGCAGTTATCGGCATTCTTGATTCGCCGAGCGATTATCGAATGACAACCAAAAGATTACTTGGCGCTCGATACGAGTAAGTGCCTTGACGTTAGCCGTGTGTAACCGAAGCGAAAATATGAGATATGAGATAAATGGGATTTTAATGTATCTGGAAGAATAAAAAGGTCAGAACCAAAGTAGCCGCCGGTCAATAGAGAGAAAGGCGAGCCGTCATAATGCGTAGTGGAGGTCGAATAAACGTATTCGTCGTCGAAAAATGCAGTCGGCCACAACTTTGTTATTCAAATGTTCTTCGGCAAGGGAGAGTTGGCTTTCAATCGTGAAAAAAGTCCATTGACGCGCGTGACCGTTCACTCTCTCTCTCTCTCCGCAAACACCTTCAGCGCGTATGTATAAAGTCTAGCTCGCGCATGTTATGCATGAGGTCTATATATATAGATTCCCAGTGCGTGTGTAGAGAGAGAGAGAGAGAAGGAGCGTAAATTTAAATTTTTCCGCTCGCCCGGACTTGAGGGTCACAAGCCCTAAGGCTTATTTAACGTTTCTATCGACGATTTCCGGATTTTTCTCCGGGTCGATCTCTCCTTTCCGTGCTCAGAAAATATTACCAAATCAATTTTATTCATCAGCGACGATTCGTATGTTTATCGTTAATTCTAATTGGCACGCGATGTAATAATCAAATTAGCTTCCGCGAAAAACGTCTCAGAAAATGCATCTAACCTGTCAATCGATTGGCTCATTATCGCCGTGAAGCTTTTCCACGCGGGACGCGAGGTTTTCAGCCGAAAAGCGCAACGTTCACACGAGAGCGTTAATCGCGTAAGCAGAAACGGAAAACGAGCGGTGCCGAGTGTTGCACGCGTTCCTCGAAAGGCACGAAGCGAGAAAGAGCACGATGCTGCAGCAGCGACCGGCAATGGAAGCAGCGCTGCAACAGTTCCAAGATGCTATGTTTTCCGCGCCAGTTTCTCACGACGAGGGAAAGAGAGAGTCTGATACTTTTTGCTCTCGCGCTCGTGCTATTTGATTCGTATTATGCACCTGCCTCTGCTGCTCTCCCGGGCGATTAGGCCTGCTTAATTCGCTCTCTGCTTAAAGTGCCGCCTCGTTAAGGGATAAAGTTATTACTCCGGGAGAGCAAAAAGACAAGCTGAGTGCACTTCCTTTTCGAGAGAGGAAGACGAGGAAGAGAGGAGAAGACGCTTGATTAAGCCTATCAATGTTAATGCACTGCGTCATGATGCCTGATGCCGTATTAGTACGTATCCGAGTTTGGTGAGAAGAAGTAAGCAATGAGACGACGAAACGGACCGGCTGCGAAGAAAAAACAGTATAGCAATTAGCAATTAAACCAATAAGACGGCCGGCGAGATATGTTTTTCGTTCTCACGTAACGACCGTCGGAACGCACTGCCGAACGCGCGCGCGCGCTGCTCTCTCTCTCTCTCTCTCTCTCTCTCTCTCTCTCTCTCTCTCTCTCTTTGGTCGTCGATCTCACCCGCGCAAGCAAATGGCTGCATGGTGTGTGCCTGCAGTTTATTGATTGGCCCGATGAAAGTTCGTTGAGCTCCGATTGTCTTTAATCCGGAAATGGCGTCCCTCTAATTCCGCTCGTCGTGCTATCGCCGCGCTAACGCATCTGACGCTTCGATCAATTACGATCGCGCGGCGCGGCGCCTATATCCCCATACGATAATTAAATATAATCAATATTTATTAAGCTGATTGAGCTCTTGCTCGCGCGGGCGCGAGGAGGCAGATCAATTCGATCGGAGACGCGGCGCTCGTATATCGCTTAATAGGCGCCATATTGCCCGTAACGACGCCGTAAATATGGACGAGACCCCCCCCCCCCCCCCACTCCTCGATACCATGCCAAATGAAGACGATAAATCCTCAGGACGCCTCCGCGCGAACGCATATAATCACCTCTTTGTCGCCACCGCCACCGCCACCGCCGTCTCGCTTTAATAGATCCGCGCCACGAATATTAGTTTTTAACATCTAATGACTCGACAGATATTTCCGTGTTGAAAGTCGATATCGTAAATTAGGGTAAGCCGATGGATTCGTGATTGTGCCACATTCAGACGGAGAATTTGAACTTGCGTAAGCTATGAGCCGATGTGCATTATCAAATTGGATTATTCGCAGAGAAATTACAAGTTCGGATTGAGATTTATCGGTAAAAGGACAGTGTTTTAACCGCGCGACGGGGCAACGCCGTTGAAAAGCATGAAGCGCCGCGGTCGTTCGTAAGAAAATGATTGATGAATCCCACCGAAAAAAGAATGAGAGAGCAATCGCAGCGGTCGTTTAGCGTAAAGCAAAGCGGAAACGAGAGCGTTTGAGCGGTCGACGAGGCATGAAACAGCAGCAGCAACCCCTTTGCACGCGCCTGGTGACTTCCTCCGACGCTTATTATAATCAATTAGCAGGCCGTTATCTACCAGCCACGCGACTGTATAAAACGCGGGGGTGGCAGCTCTCGAGGGTAGCACAACCCTCGGCCTCTCTCTCTCTCTCTCTCCCTCTCTTTTTTATATTCGACGATCGTGAAAAGGGCCGCGGCAGCGAGCGGCAACAGGCTGATGATCGTCAAGATTCTCGATGGGCTCTTCGACCCCTCTTCGAAAAAAAAGAAAAAAAACGAGGGAGAGAGACGCATACAACGAGGAAATGCTCT